AAGAGATGACTAGCATGAAGAAGTGTTTGCCTGGTTCTGACCCTCACACCTTCCTCTCAAGCAGGGTGTGGGACAAATGAGCTGTGTGACCCCAATGCACCTTATTAAGTTCTTTTGCTCTTTTTTGAACTGTCTCCACAAAGGAACCAGAAAATTAAAAGGCAGCTTTGTAGGCGAGCCAGAATATGAGTGCAGTAGGATTTTTGTCTTTTCTTTTTATTGGAGTTTGCCCCGAAGTGTAGCAGAGCTGGCAGTTCTTTGGCTCTTTTGTGGGGTCATGAAATGAACCGTTCACAGAAAATGCATCACGCTACACTCAAGAGTGGGGTTGTTGGAGGTCATAAGGTTGCACTGCACTGGGCTCCGGTTCCCTGCAATTCCTGTAAGACTTTCTCTTGAGACCTAAAGATGCAGCACACTTTGGAGAAGGCTTAAAGAGAAAGCTCTGGAAGGGGTTTTCTAAGGCACTTTCTCTTCAATCAACAACTCCCTCTGTAAGACTGGGGGTTTTTTTAGTCATGAATCTCCTTCAGTGATTAATTCAAAATGGAAGAAGGACGTAAAAACTTAGAGAGAGAAAGGAAGAAGTTGTTAAACTGTTAATATTACTTAAAAAGAATGAGAGTAGGCAAAAGCAAGAGATACCGGAGAGCAGTTAATCAAACAAAACCATGGCATGAACCCACATTCCAAATGCTAAGCCAAAACTGCAAAGCTTTGATTTCCCAAAACCTAAAAGCTTAGGGTTTCTTTTGTTTTTGTTTTGTTTTGTTGTTTTTGTATCTCAGACCTAATGACCTTTTATCTCCCTGTGCATATGGAGATTTATTTAACCCAAAACCTGGCACTCTACTACAGCGTTGTCTCTGCCTGGCACATCACTACCAGCACCATCAAGGATCATTTAATGAAGTATTAAGCCTGTGCCCTTGTGCTGTAATTCCCTTCTCTCGATGGAGAAGTCCTTCTGATGGCCACACCTCCTTGTCATTCACCTCTACTCTCTGTCATTACCTGTAAGCCTAGAGAAGGAAGAATTTATCGCTGAAAAGTTAAAGGCAAAACGTCAGCTGACACTAATGCTAAGTATTAAATGCTAGTTTGTACTGCCCGGCTAACATGAAATTTATTTTGGCAGAGATTCCTTTTTCTGAAATGTTTCCCTGAGTTAGCTGAACTAATTTTTTAGCAGCACCATATGGTTTTCAAGAACTATGTATGCCTCAAATGCAAACGGGAAGAGATCCCCTTCCCCCCACCACACACACACCATATCACTTGCAGGTTTTCAGAACAAATTCGTGAGTGTTTGAAGACTAGATAAAATCTGCAGTTTTGTTTCTCGGGCATTGTTGAGTATATTCAGATCTGTGGGAAGGAGGAAGGCAGCCTGAGATTCTGGCTGCATGACCTCTGAACTACATACAGACAGCCGTCCTTCTGTCCTTGGTGGTGTTTATGTGGCGGGCAGAGTAAAGCTGGCTGTGTGGTCACTTAGTTGTATGGCCACACCAGGACATTCCAGACTTTGCCAGGGAGGACTGAGAAGGAACTGGCATATTATGCCCCCTTGTATTGAAATATTTGCTGTTTGGGATGTAAACTAAAATAAACATTCACCACCTAAGAAACCAGGGAGCTGCTGGCTGCCAGGGAGTGGAGAGGTAGACAAAGCCCAGCCATGGAGGACGGAAGGGGCAGGAGGTCTCGCCCTTCCCACGGGGGTGAGCAGCTCTTTCCAGCCTGTGGCCTTGTTCCAGGAGCTCAGGGTGCTTTGGCTGAGTGGAGGCCCTGTCACACAGGCTGGCTTCATAACTCAGTTTCACCAGCTTCAGAGGTATGGCTTAGCTTCTCTGGTAACTTGGTTACCAGAAGAGTAACATTTGTCAAGTCACTAACCTGGCTGGTCTCCTCCAAGTATGACAAAGGCCCCCTCCAAGTCAACCCCCAGCCTCCACCCGCCCAGTCCCCAGAGACCCCTGGCCAACTTGCAGAGCTGGGGGAAGCTTTTCTACCTCTTAAATCTCTGAGGCCTGCTCAGCATGCAAAGAGGATCCCTTCTCCTGCTCCGGTCACACTGTGTTCCTGGGGGGTATCAGCAGATGGAGGCTGCCTTTTATATGCAAATATTTGGAACCCATTAATTCCTCAGTTCCTGCCACCTACCCTCCCTCTTCTCAGAGGTCTTTCTGTACCTTCTGAATGGCAAATGGAAGTTCCCACCCAACGAAAAGCTATTCCATTGGGAGCTAGGCTTGGAGGCTCAGGCCTGAAGCTGACTACTTTTTGACACTCCTGTGCTGATTTGGACGGGCTCTTGTGGAAACAGCCTCTCAAGGCAAAAACTTGTGGGAAGGAGAAAACATGGATTGAATGCTTTATGGAAAATTTTTACTTGATACCTGCCACACCCTTCAGCTCAGCACTATTATTCTAGACTTAACACTAAGAAAGGGGGATCAAAGAACTGTTTCCATAGCCACCTTTGGGGTGGTGGAAAAGCCAGGGACTCCATAACCACACTTTTTTTTTTCTTCAATGCACCACTAAAGAGGTAAAAGAACTCAGGACTGCCAGAGGAAAGAGCAGTTGAGGATTTATTGACCTCCTTTGCCATGACTCTGTCAGTGGTTGTGAAAAGAGCTTTGGATCTTCCCATTTGTTTTCCCTGCCCCCCCCAGCGCTGTCCTTTCTCTGCCCCCCAGCGCCCCCCCCACACACACACATACTTCAGAGCACAGTCCTGTGGAGTTTGCCAAGCCCAATTCTTTGCTGGCAACCATTTCTTTCAGTAAAGCGCTGCTGATCAATATTGAAAGCTAGGACCAGAAGAAAAAGATGCTCTCCAAGTTCAAACTCTGTCTCCTGGGGAGAGTCTTCCTTAAGAGGGAAGTGGGCACTTTTCTCCCACCGGCTGTAATGCAGCCTACCAAGGCACCTGGGAAGAAGGCATTCAGCGATGGCCCTGGGGCTGGCTGCTCCACATGCAGCTTCCAGAAGCGCCAGCCTCCTCAGCCTTCTCAAGGCGTGTGAGTCCCCTTCCCACTCCATCCTTAGCCACATCCTAGCCTTTAGGGTTGCAAAAACACACTGCTCTCCAGTATGGTGTTTGTTGTTGGTTCATGTTCTGGCCCCTCCCTCAGTCTAAGGTGTGTGGATGCCCTTTTGTTCCGCCCTGTTACCAAAATCCTTAGAGCCTTCCTGTTTGCTGACTTCCTTGACCAGTGCTGGATCTCCCACAGCAAGAAAAGTGCTAGAGCTCAGGTGTTGTGTTCACTTGCAGACTGCAGTGTCTACTCAGTCCTCGGACTTGTCCCTCCAGAGCGCTCTCTGACAGGGAGACACACGTGCACTAGTGACGCCTCGTGAGTCATGCAGAGGAATCCTGGCTCATGAGAACAGTGTCCAGCCAAAGGGTCCCAGGGACCCTTGCTCATATTGGAGCTGGCCTTGCCTGACGCACATGACTGAACACAGATACTTGACACAATCCAGGTTCCAGGAAGAGGAGGGATTAGCTGGTAGGCCTAGTACACAGGGAAAGTGTGAAGCTGAAACTCATAATACTCTTGTGGCACAGGGATCCTATACCCTCAAAACAAATTAAGGGGCTGGGAAGGTGGCTCAGTGGTAGAGTGCTCACCTCAGTCCTAGATAAACAGAAAAAGCCGGAAATGGCGCTGTGAACCAAGTGTTAGAGCATTTGCCTTGAACATATCGAAAGGCTCAAGGACAGTGTCCAGGTCCTGAGTTCAAGCCTGAGGACCAGGAAAAAGAAAAAGAAAAAAAAAGAAATTAGCACACATAGGTCCTAGCACTAGAAAATCTGATTTTTAAATCTCTGTAGGTAACCTAGGGCACATAGTAAAACAGCGACTTTCTTTCTTATGATTTTTTGTCATTATATTTAAATAGCTGTACAGAGGAATAACCATTACTTTCTGGAAAGAAGTTTGTATTCACCAGCACAAAAAAGAACAAATAGATAGATAATGGTATTTTTCCTCCAACCCTTTAGAGAAAACCAGGACATAATTAAAAAAAAAAAAGTTGAGAGAAGAGTTAAGCCTGTGCCAATAGAATTCAAAGGAGAGTTTGAAGCAGAAACACATAGAAATCCACATGAGGAAACACTGTCATCAATAAAGTAACTTGCCAAGCACAGGGTGGCTCTTACCTATGATCCTGGCTACTCATGAGGCTGAGATCTGAAGATCACGGTTCAAAGCCAGCCAGGACAAGAAAGTCTGTGATGTTCTGATCTGCAGTTAACCAACAAAATGCCCAGAGTGGAGGTATGGCTCAAGTGGTAGAGCACTAGCCTTAAGCAAAGAAAGCTAAAGCTAAGAGAGAATACAAGGCCCTTAAGCCTGAAGCCCCAGTAGTGACACACACACACACACACACACACACACACACACACACACAAAAGGATTCATTATCAGACCTAAACTTACCTTAACTGGGCTCACAAGATTAATCTATGAATCAAAATAGTAGTTGACATTTACCTAGAGACCGATAACTGATATTCTTAAAATACAAATAACAAATTTATTTCCCTGTAGGCAATCCCACACAGGGAGACAGATCATAATCAGGTTATTTGTTGAACCTGAAAACAGAAGGAAAAAAAAAAAGGTGAATCATGTATTTATTTGCATTAACTAAGAAAGTAGTCCATCCATTCCAAATATGGCCTGTGGGTCTTCTTTGAAGTCTGTCAGCTAAAGGACTCTCTCTTCCCTGATCAGTATTTATAGATAATCACCTGACAAGGTTTTGTCCAATTTTTCTATGCTTCATAGCTATTCAAACACCTGTCCATCTGCCACTTGAAAAATTCTCTCATATCAGGCCTCCTATATTTTGGAAAAAAAAGATGACCTCAGCGTCTCTTGACTTGGAAGGTATTTGAAGACTGCAGGACTGTAGTGATGCCTCCTCCTTCCCACCCTTGCCTGATCCTGGATGCTGCCCTGACTGTCTTCTTCCTGCAGGTACACATTGGCAGCTCAGGACCTGGTGATGCGCGCCCGCGGCGTCCTGAAGGACAGAGGATGGCGAATATCAAATGACCGGCTGGGCTCAGGAGATGACATTTCTGTCTACGTCATTCCTTTAATACATGGAAACAAACTATCCTGAAAACAACCCCAGGAGACTGGGAGGACTGAGGGAAAGAAAACTGGAGTGTCTCGGCGGGCTGGCACTGGGTTCCAGGTGATAGAATCTCTACCAAACCCAGGTAGGGAGTTTGCTGCCAAAAGGCCTCTAGCTATGCTTCGAGATGACCCTTACATTTCCACGTCTTCTTCAGTAACAGGTCTGGACACTCAACAAAGGCAAAAGACAAAGAGTGCAGCTGAGTGTTGTTGTTTCTGCTGGTTTCTGGTCTAGGCCTCCCAGGTGGCGACTGCCTGTTTGGGGGGCACAGATCTCATATTTATTTTATCTGGAATAGCTGGGGCAGTTGTATTCAGGTGTAACTGACAGAAGATTCTTTAGCCTGGCAAGCTGCCAACTTCTCTCTGGATGAAAAGTGCCACATTAGAAGTTGGGGATCATGCCTCAGAAAACAGAAGCGCCCACCTTCTAGACATCATGAGCTTTATTTCAGGGATTCTGTCTTCCCCTACCTCCCCTCTCCTTTCTCCCTCCTCTTTCTCTGTGTAGTCATGATGAGGTGGGGCAAGGATCTTTTTTTTTTTTTTTACATTCCTTGAATCTCATTTCCCTCCTGTGGAACAGGACTGGGACTTTCCAACTCTTTACCGAGGAATTTCTATGTCCGGATCCAACCCAGGCTGGTTTGGCCCCGTGTCCTGTGCCCCACACCACCCAGGCAGTGGGCGCAAGCATGGGGCTGCATAACAAGTGTTTGTTGTGTAACATTTGTTCCTGCGTTGCATTTCTCACCAAGCCATTGTGTGTTCTTGTAAATGTGGGTGTTTCTTTGGACCAACAGTTCCTCTGTTATCTGGCTGGAGGTTTGGCTGGGAGAGCCTGGGTTTTTACTCCCTCTCCCACCTGCTATGTTAGGTGTCCTGGGAACATGTAGAAAGTTGTGTGCAGTGGCGTTCTGCAGGAAGTCCTCACGTGCGCTCACCAGCCCTCCTGTGAGGGTAGTTTTGAATTCAGGTTTCGTGAGCTGTGACTGTCCACCGGCTCACTCCAACGCAACTGTGAGTTCCGCCAGCAGCTCTCCTCGGTCACCCTGGTGCCAGGCCCATCGCGGTGGCACGTAATTAGAGTCATTCTCATGCTGCTCTCCCTGTCCTTGCCCCAGAATCACACTGTAGCTACAGAAGAAATCAGAACCTTGCTCTCACTGTGGGCCCACCTCTGCGTGCTCCTCTCAAGCACAGCCGCAACACACACACACACACACACACACACACACACCAAATACCATAGCTAATCAGGTATGGACAGAAGGAGTGGCCAAGTTAATTTCTAAAAGCACTTCTTTCTTTTTCATAGGCAGATTGCCTGTAAGGAGCATAGGAACATTCCAGAGCAGCTTCTCACTCATCCTTTTCCTGTAGAGCTACTACTGGTGTGTCATTACTCTGTGTGTGTGTGTGTATGTGTGTGTGCGCCCGCGCGCGCGCGCACATGTGTGAGGGCCAGGATTAGTTTTTGTGCTCAAGGCTGGCACTCTTGCCACTTGAGCCACAGCCCCATTTTCGGCTTTATGATGGTTAACTGGAGATAAGATTCTCACCAACTTTCCTGCCCAGGCTGCCTTCAAACAGCAACCGTGCCATCTCAGCCTCCTGAGTAGCTAGGGTGACATGGGTGAGCCACCTTGGCACTTGGCTGTGGTCACCATTTTGACAATTCCTCCATTCAGTCTACCCAGGGAAGAAAAGTCATCGGTGTCATTTCCTCAGATTCTGAGAGTCAATTCCAGTTCTCATGTTTGTGTAGATCCCTTCCCAGAGGTGAGTATAAGAACCTTTCCTCCGAAGTGACAAATTGCCTACATTTCCTGGAACAGTAGATAGTTTCTTAGGAAAGGCTTGGAGCCTTCCTTCTCAGGAAGAAATTCATTCCACAGTGTTGACCCAGTGCCCCATCTGCTAGGTACAATACTATGGGGATTTATCCCTCCAGGTGTTTGCCAACATGTTGCCAGAGGGCTGAGCTACCCACTATTTTGTCAGGAGTCATCTTTGTCTCCTTCAGGAAGTCTGAGCTACAACTGAACGTCACTGGGGGGAGAGGTTTGTGGTAAGCCATTTGCTGCCTGGCAGAATGTGATGCTACGGGAAAACTTTCAGGCACCCTACAGCAGAGAGGCCCATCAGTTCCTGCCTTAACCTCTCCCCACCCCCCCCATTCCCAAAGTCACACACAAACTGGAAACAGGAGAAAGACTTCCACGGAGAACCCTGAGCTGCCTGTGTGGGGATCTTTCCTATATTCCCAATGCCTCTCACTTTTGTTGCTTTTCTCCACCTCTCTGGGCCCTGCCTGAGCTTCTCTACTTTCACTAAAGCCACCAGTCAGAATGTGGCTCTAGATATCATGTAGATGTCATGATAACTCTTTACTCCATTCACCATTCATTTACTGCCAAGGCGTGTCTCAGGAAAAACTGCAAACTCCTCCTTCAAATTAGTCTAAAACCACAAGCATTTAATTCTGCTGGTTTTAACTACAAAAAGGTATCCAGGAATTCTTTTCCAAAATCTCCTTGGGTAGAAAGATGTAGCAAGCCAAGTCCATGTTTGTGTTTGGGGGATGGGAAGAGAACTACAAATGAGGTAAATAAATTGAAAGTGGGTAAAAATGATTTGTGACTGCCCTGGAAGATCTGCCCAGCACTGATATTGCTCTGTGAATTGAGCTCACTCCATTTTTGGCCTTATTTTTCACCCAGGCCCCAAGTCATCCTGGCCTGAGTACACCGAATGAGGGGGTCCTTGGAGCATTCGTAGAACGGTCAAAAGACAACACACTCAGAATCTTGCCAGACATATTTATATGTGGTCCTGGAATCTTGTGTATTGGACTTACAGCCAAATCTGCTGGTTCTCATAGCCTCAGAGGAAGTCTTGGGTAATGGAAAGCTTTTGATTTCCTAGTCAGGTCTTTATGGTTGTCTTGGGGGTTGTGTGGCCACTTCCTTTAATGAAAGGCCCTTTCAGCCCTAAATCTCTTTGCTGGGCCAGTGCCTGCCCTGAATCTCTTTGCTAGCCCAGCCCCTGCTTATTGGAATATATGGTGGCACCTAGAGAGTGTGAACTCACAGCCCATCCATCGTCCTCAGCATTTTGCCAGCCCACCACTGAAGCTGTGTTCTTGTCACACTGAGCCAGCCAGCGCCTGCCAGCAGTCAGGAGAGGTGGGGCGGGGCCTCCTGTGGCGGTTCAGCCCCAACCACTATCCTGGAGGGAGAAAAGAAATCAAAACGAGGCTAGGCAGTACAAGCTGCTGTCTGCCAGAGCAAAGCCTAAGGAGTGAGGATTTCAAGGATGAGGGGGGAAGACTGAGAGTTCACACCAATCGAGGCTGCCCAGCGAACCTTGTCTCAAAAAAAAAAGTTGTGGGGAGGTGGGTGTTTCATTATTTCCTATAGGGTTCACCCTTGGAAGGTTTGAGATGTTTAATTTGTGTGTGTGTGTGTGTGTGTGCCAACTACTGGACATGGGTGCCATCCTAGTCAAGGCTGGTGCTCTATCACTTGAGCCTACACCTCCACTTGTAGCTTTTTGGTGGTTAATTGGAGATCAAAGTCTCACAGACTTTACTGTCCCAGCTGGCTTTGAATCACAACCCTCAGATCAGACCCTCCTAAGTAGCCAGGATTATAGGTGTGAGCCACAAACGCAGCGTTCAGCTTTTACAGTGTCTAGTAATTGACCTCGTGGGGCTGTGTGGCGTCAGCTGTGCCCACGTTCTGCTCAGTCCTCACTGTTTGGGGGGTGATTGGGGGGAGTGACAACCAGAAGCGGATTTTGATGGGCAAGATTGGAAGTCCCCAAAGCCAGATTTAGCCCCACAGCACTGCCGTGGAAAAATTGCACCCGGGAAAGTTCTCGCATGTCGTAAAAATACCGACTCTTCCCTTGCTTTCCCTTCCTCCCCCTCCCTTCCCTTCCCCCCTTCCCCCTCCCTTCCCCCTCCCTTCCCCCTCCCCTCCTCCTTGGCCATCAGCTGTATTTAGAAGGCCACAGCAGCGGATATTTCTGTTTCCCCAAGTTTGAGGAGCTCACTTTTCTCTAAGCGACCCAGCAGTTCTGCTGATTCTAGAATGAGTATGTGAAAGCGCTGATGAGATGTGAGCTTCTATAACCGAGTGCGGCTGGGACAGCGGGAGAGAGCAGTGAGACCTGTGCTCTGTGCTCAACCACACTGATGTAGGAGAGTAGTGAAACTGGGCCTGGTCCCCAGACAGAATTCTATGCTAGGAACTCGGAGAAGTCTTGCCGCCTGTGCACCACCGACACCCCTGCAGTTCACTTGGCTTTTGTGCAGTGATGGCACACGGTGTGGCACTCCCGGATTCCCTCAGAGCCGTGTGAGCAGCCCGGGCAGCCTCTTCCAGGAGCCCCACTGCGCATGTGCGGTTTGAGTGCCAGCCTGGAGAGAGCTGCTTTCTCCTCCACGATGTTTATCTGTGTAAATAGCTTTATTTTTTTTTTCCTCCATGTCTCAGATGAAGTTTTGTTTGTGTAACAACCAGGTAGACGGTGACCAAACAAGGCTGTAACTGTGCTGTCGTTTTCTACTGTGATGTACTTGAAGGAGAGCCGTGTGTCCTGCACTCTTCCAATCTTCCAGTACTTTGTGTTTGTTTGGGGCAGTCCCGAGGTTACTATTTCACTCCTGTTTTGCCTCTGATTTTTCTTTGTTTGGAGACCCAGGAAGGCCCAGCTGAGGATCATTTGTAAGAATTATGCATATTGTTGTCTGGGTTTCCAAAACTCCCCTAGGTGCAGTGAATCGAGAAGAATCTGCTTGGAATGGTCTCAGAACCATGTACCTTTATGCTTTGTGATTGTGAAACACTGATTTTTGTAACCCCCCCAAATAAGAACCGTTTAGTAAAGGGGATCTATTTTGTGTGTTTTGAAACTTAGGTGCAGCGTCCCCTGGAAAAAGCTAAAGAACTGTATATGCTCAATGACATTTTAAAATAAAATATTATATATATATATATGTATATAGGACATCTTTAGCAAAACGTTTTTTGTGTCTTTTCTTTGGATTCACTGTAATTTTCATATCAAGTGATGGAATAATAAGAGAGTTTAATGGATGAATGTGAGGTGATCAGCTGGGGGCACAGACTCAAAAGAAGAATTGCCAACACTGGAGTAGAGGGATGGGCTAATTCATTATAGCCATACCTCTAGGAGAGCTGCGATAGCATGTATGAACACACAAAAATGTGGAGGGAAGAATCACTCCCAAAAGGTATTCTTGAGCAAAAGGCCAGAACCTAATCTTGCAGAAGTAGGTAAGAGTTGAGATTCCCTTAAGCCAGATGCCAGTGGCTAATGCCTGAAATCCTAGTGACTTCAGGGGGCTGAGACCTTAGGGTTATGGTGTGAAACCAGCCTGAGCAGAAAAGCCCTTGAGATTCTTATCTCTACTTAACCACCAAAAAGCCGAAAGTGAAGCTGTGGCTTAAATGCTAGAGCACCAGCCTTGAGTGGAAAAGCTAAGGGACAGTGCCCACCCTGAGTTCAAGCCCAGTAACAACACCAATATAAACAAAGGATAAAAAGCCTCCCTTAATCACCTACACATTTTAAGTACTTGCAAAAAATATTATTTCATACAGGAAACTTACCTAAACAGCTACTATAAAGGATGCTGATGGGGTGTAGTTCCAGAATCCAGAGAGTGAAATATAATGTAGAAAATATCAACAAAACATTTTTTTTTTGTTTTTGTTTTTGGG